CTCCCATGGCGGAGCCGAGCAGTCTTGCAGTGGTTCCGACCACTCCAAGGCTGGTGCCGAGCACTCCTGCAGTGGTGCCGACCACTCTAGGAGTGATGACAAGCGGTCCAAGAGTAGTGCCGAGCACTGCAGCCGAGGTGCCGAGCACTCCAGGTGTCGTGTCGACCACTCCGACAGAACAGGGGACTCCATCGACACCGATCGAGTTCGCCTCACCTCCAAGTGACATCACCGAGTTCGTGGATGCCTTCCACGACGGTGAGGAGGTGCGGTTTCACAGGCTGGATGACATCGTCGATGGCATAGAGGCCTTGGGCCTTGCAAGTCGGCTGCTCAACGACCCAGAGCTGCTTCTTGTCAGTACCGAGGAGCCACCCACGTTCGCGCTGGCCGAGCACGACGCCAACTGGCGACGGGCGATGCTAGAGGAGATGAAGGCGATCAAGAAAAATGAGACTTGAGAGCTTGTCGATCCACCTCTAGGATGTCGTCCGATTGGCCTGAAGTGGGTGTACAAGGTTAAGCGGAATGAGCGTGGTGCCATTGTCAAGCACAAGGCACGTCTCGTCGCCCGTGGCTTTGTCCAGCGCGAGGGCATCGACTTCGAGGAAGTCTTTGCGCTGGTAGCGTGCATGGAGTCCGTTTGACTGCTACTGGCTCCAGCAGCGGCGAAGGACTGGCGCGTTCATCACCTGGACATCAAATCGGCCTTCCTCAATGGCGAGTTGGCAGAGACGGTCTACGTCATGCAACCTCTGGATTTCGCCGTCAAGGGAGCAGAGCACAAGGTGCTCCGACTGTGCAAAGCAATCTACGGGCTGCGACAGTCCCTGAGAGCATGGAACGCCAAGCTTGACGCCATGCTGGGCGAGCTTGGGTTCACGCAATGCGCAACCAATCACGTGCTCTACACGTGGCGATGGAGGAAGGAGGAGCTCGTCGTCGGCGTGTATGTGGATGACTTGATCGTCACCGGCGCGCGTGCGGAGGATATCGATAGCTTCAAGTGCGAGATGGCGGCTCGTTTTCGAATGAGCGATCTCGGCGTGCTCTCCTACTACCTCGGCATCAAGGTGAAGTAGGGGAAGGAGGCGCTCACGCTCAGTCAGAGTGTGTACGCCTCGAAGCTATTAGAGCGGAGCCGCATGGCTGAGTGCAAGCCGTGCGCGACTCCGAGGAAGGAGCTACTGAAGTTGACAAAGGCCAGTACCACGGCAAAGGTGGATGCAACACTCTACCGGAGCATCATCGGCGGTCCGCGCTACCTAGTCCACACGAGGCTGGACATTGCGTTTGCCATGGGCTACGTCAGCCGCTTCATAGAGGATCCCCGAGAGGATCACTGGGTCGCGGTGAAGCGGCTGCTGCGCTACGTGAAGGGGACGGTGGATCAGGTGATTGTTTTCCCCAAGACCAGCGAAAGTGGGCTGCGGCTCACTGTCTTCAGTGATGCAAACATGGCAGGGGACATCGACGGACGACGGAGCACCTCCGGCGTGCTCGTCTTCCTCGGGCCGGCCCCAATCTCATGGCTGTCGCTAAAGTAGAAGGTGGTAGCGCTGTCCACGTGCGAGGCGGAGTACGTGGCAGCGACCACAACGGCGTGTCAAGCTGTGTGGCTGCGCTGGTTGCTGGGCGAGCTGACCGGCCGACAAGCTCACCCACCAGCGCTGATAGTGGACAACCAGCCCACCATCGTCCTCGCAAAGAATCCGGTTCTCCACGACCGGAGCAAGCACAACGATGTCAAGTTCCACTTCCTCAGGGACTGTGTCGATGGAGGGCAGATCGTCATCGAGTTCGTTGAAACTGGTCGGCAACTCGCGGACGTCTTCACCAAGCCGCTCGACCGTCTTCGGTTCTCGGAGCTGAAGAAAATGATCGGCATGGTGTAGGTTCTCGGGTTAGCAGCAGGATTAGGAGAAGAATTGTAAAATAACTCGCCTCCCTCAGACGCACGGGCAGGGCGGGCGCCGAAAGGCTCCCTCGTCACAGATTGTAGCCGTGGCGTGAGCAGCACGCCGAAAGGCTCTCCCGCCACATCTGTAGCCACGTGAGGAGCGGACGTCAAAGTTATCCCTGCTATCACTTCTAGTCACTGTAGCAACATGGCAGACAGACATGTCTATGTAGTAGGACTATATGGTAGAGTTGTATATATTGTTTTCACTGCAACTAAGTAAACAGAGAGTTTAGTTTTGCATTCTCCTCCGCTGAGTTTCGGCCAACGCTGGTGTCTCTGTTGTGTGTGTGCTCTGTTCTTCATCTCTCTTCTACCTTCAGCCGTGGTGTGTGTGCGAGAACGCCGGTGAGCAGTCTGCTCACCCCGTGCGTGTGATTTCGGGCCCAACATTCTATACTTTATTTCTTCCATTATAAATATTCAATACTCCCTCCGTATCGCTTTTAGAGGTCGTTTAGGACATGGGAACGCTTACCAATGAGTGATTAAGCAGGGGGTATTTTTCCCTGTCTACCCCTATTAAATAGGGCTGCAATTGTTACCTATGCAACAAATAGATGCGTAGCTCGAGTGGCTAGACCAGGGTGGCCCAAGGAAGCAGGTCGTCGGTTCGAGTCCCTGCGGGTTCGCTTGTTTTTTATGTCGTTTCTATTTTGCATGGCACTGTGCTCGTGGCCGGCGTTGCTTGCATGGATTTCGTTTGCCTTCGTAGCTGCTCGTGCGCGCGCGCGTTCTGGCTGTCCGCGACAACGTTTTGCCCTGCGCGCCGTCGGCTTTTGGTTCGTTTTCGCCCTGCGCGTTTTAGCAGTCCGCGCGCGCGTTGATCTCATTCAAGCAGGTAGGTTTGGCGGGTTTTTTTTTCGTTCTCGACGCCGTCTTCCGTCATCATCTCCATGGAGTCCGGCGCGAGCTCCAGCGACGCCGGCGAGACGACCTTCTCCGCCTCCAGCGATTCCGACGTGATGGAGTCCGGCGCGAGCTCCATCTCCTGCTCGAGGCCGTCGTCATCTTCATGGATTCTGGCGCCAACGCCGACGTCGAGTCCGCCGAGGATGCATCCATGCAGTCTGGCGTGCGGTGAGGGCGAGGGCGTGCGGCGGCGTGCAGCATGCGTCGAGCGGATGGGAGACGGTGCTAATAACTCACGCGGTTGGGAGGCCAATCGTTGCCGAGCGTCGAGCGCGGCGCTATTAACTCACGCGGCGCGGGAGCCCAAGCGCGAGGGGTAGCGGCGTCCAAAGCTGAGTACTTACGGCAGAACGACGTCTTTTTATCAACTCGAGTCCAAACGCAGAACGACCTCTAAAAGCGATATGGAGGGAGTACTCTATGACAGCGACCAGGGGCGGATCTCTGCCCTGCTAGCCTAGGGTGAGCCCCCAGCAATTAACATTGGGACTAGCCTTGCAAGGATGACCCCACCCCGCAGCACCCTAACGGAGGCGGAGGTTTCATCTTCGTGGTGGCGCCGCTCAACATATCCCGCTATGATGCTTTTGCTTGGCCTTGCTCACCTCCTCCTCAGCCCCAGTCCAGCAGCAGCACCCACGGGCCACGGCCCCACCATGTGAATGTGAATATGCTCCGTGACCACCTATCCACCACCCCTAACCGCATAGATATAAGATATGTCTCTGGATGCGATCAGCGTTCAGATCAATGGCTCCCCCAGCCCTAGGCCCCCACTTGGTGACTCCCATAAGCCCCAAGGTGGCCAGTAGCCAACACACTGCAGCTAGCGGTAGCCGCTATCCAACACTGGCTCCAAAGCAAGCAATACTATGTTTTTCTAGGTCACTAATAATTAAGAAAAAGTTTAGAAGGTTATGTATTTTTGTACAATACTATGTTTTGATAATTGTTAGTATATGCATTGTCAGGTGTTTCTAGGGACGCATTACACTGGGATCGACATAATGCTGAACCTGGGCGACGGCGAGTACTGGAAGAAGGTGATGGGCCCGGTGTTCATCTACCTCAACTCCAGCCCCAACAATGGCAGCGACATCCGAGCTTTCTGGGACGACGCCAAGGCGCAGGCGCGAGCGGAAGCCGGCAAGTGGCCGTACAGCTTTCCGGAGTCGCCGGGCTTCGCCAAGGCGGGCGACAGGGGCACGGTTACCGGCACTCTCCTGGTCAGGGACGCGTTCGCGAGCAAGGGCGGTGACGTGCCTGCTGCAACGGCGTTCGTCGGGCTCGCCGCGCCCGGCGGGCAGCCTGGCTCCTGGGCGACACAGTGCAAGGTGCGGTGACCGTGCCTGCAAGTTTGTTACACACATATCAGACGTTCTGATCGATGCATGCTATGATGCTTTTGCTTTGGCCTACACCTGCAGGGTTACCAGTTCTGGACGAGGGCGACGGCCAGCGGCCGGTTCAGCATCGGCGGCGTCCGGGCTGGAACCTACAGCCTCGACGCGTGGGTTCCCGGGTTCCTCAGCTCGGAGACTACGTGCACACCTCCACGGTGACCGTGACGCCAGGTGGCGCCGTTGACCTTGGTAGCCTCGTGTTCGTGCCCCCGAGGTCGGGCCCGACGCTGTGGGAGATGGGCGTCCCGGATCGGACGGCGGCGGAGTTCTTCGTCCCCGACGCCGACCCCAGATACGCCAGCAAGCTCTTCGTGGGGAAAGACGGGTACAGGCAGTACGGCCTGTGGGAGAGGTACGCCGAGCTGCACCCTGCTGGAAATGACCTCGTTTTCACGGTTGGTCAGAGCGACTACTCAAAGGACTGGATCTTCGCACACGTCACAAGGTAATCCACTAATCCTCCTATTATATATGAACAACAACCCTTACGGTAAAACTGCATCTATATATATGCAAACATGCATCTTTCTGTTTGCAGGATGGATGGCAACGTCAGTACACCAACGACACGTCAGATACGCGTGGCAAACGGCACCTACACCCTGCGCATTGCTCTTGCAGCTGCTTAAATGTCCAGACTCACGTTACACCTGCATGTTACATGTAACCTAATCAGCCAAACATGCATATCTGCTGATACAATGTGCTCTCGTCTTTGAAATAAGGTGCGCGTGAACGGCAGAGTGGCTAGGGAAGCCGTGTTCAGCACGCCGGAGTTCGGCAACAGCAACGCCATCGCGCGGCACGGCATCCACGGCGGCGTGCAGTGGAGCTTCGAGTTCCCCATCAGGGGCTACCTGCTGCGGCAAGGCGAGAACAGCATCAGCATCACGCAGACGATGGCGTTCGGGCCCTTCTTGGGGGTCATGTACGACTACCTCAGGCTGGAAGGGCCTCCGCCGGCATGATCACTCCGGCGACCCCCACGGCGCCGCTAGCCGAGAACAGCCACAACATCCTAGCAAGATATGGCAATGTAATCACAACTCACAAGTCAAAAAAACAACTCACAAGTCACAACAGGATGGATTCCCGCATCTGTATTCTTCTATTCTAGCAGTAGTAGCAGAAGAGTAGGAGTTACCAGAGTGAAAAAAAGTTTGGAGGGGATTACTAGATGTTTCAAAAAATTCGACACAAACTAGCCCATCGATCCATGCTCCAAACATGGTAAAGTATGGTAATTCAATCCGCAGGTGCTGGTACGCAAGCCAAGTCACACCCGCAAGTTTCATCGAGTCGGAACCCGAAATGAATGAGGGTTATGTGCGGATGCTAAATCACACCCGTGAGTATCTATCGGGGCCCGAAATATAAGGAACATGCTACGTAACCAAGTATCCATGTCTAGATGTAACGACATGCATGTTTGCCATTTAGGTCTTAAATTTTAGTCCATTTCAAATATAAATGAGTGATATGTGGTAGATGACTAGATGTGTGATATAGATACAGGAATTTTTGTCTTTTTTTATTTTTATTACTTATTGATTAATCATGACGATATATTAATTGTGAGATGAACACACTTGACGGGTGCCCCAAACTCATGAGCGACCCATGGACAAGGACGCATGTACCAAATTGCAACTGTGAGGTGTTGCAATGGCGGGTGTGACCAGTGCTAAATTTCAAAGGAAATTAAATCAATTTTGATCAAAGAAAATTAAATAAATTAATTTTATGGAGCTCAAATTAAAAAAACAGAATTGTTTGAGATTTGATCCTTACACCTCCTGCAAGGCGGTGGAAGCTTTCCACTAGATTAGATGCTAACTTATGAATTTTGATTAACACAAATCCTATTCGGTATTTCTATCTGAAATCCATAGTTTTGGTCGCCTTTGAAAACAACCAAATTCACAAATTATGGCTGGAATTTCACTGAAAATTTGAACCCTAGGTCTGACAATATGTCGTTGCAAGTGCTGTTGTGGGTGTGTTTACTCCACCTGCAGCATACCCGACCCATTTTCCATCCCTAAGCATGGTCAACAATCTTATGTTGCATAAGTATTAAAAGTTTAGTAGATAAATTTAGGCCCCCTTTGGCAATGCTCTCAGCCTGCTCCCATGGCCGCTCCCCACTGCTTCAGTTCCCTCCAGCTCTCCACTACTCCCGGTGTTGTTTGGTGGAGCTCCCTCGACGGCTCCTGCTCCCAACCCGCGTCCCGGCAGGGGAGGGCAAGTTGTGGCAGCGCAAGGAGAAGGCAAGGTCGGCGGCCTCGAGCTCCGCAAGTCCAGCGGCCTCGGCAAGGTCGACGATGTCGTGCTGGATTTTGACGAAGTCGACGGTGGTGGGATGGATCTCGGAAAAATCGATGGCCGTATGCTGGATCTCGGCGAGCTTCGTGATGAAGAGGACCTGCCCGGCGGAGAGGTACGTGGAGACGAGCACGACGGAGGGGCGCGAGAGAGACAACGGAGCGAAATAGAGCAAGAGCGGGTTTTTTCTGCTCCCCACCTACAGTGCAAGTTGGGCGGAGTGGCGGGAGCGCTTACCACGCTGAGCATTGCGGAACCAAGCCCTTTCAAAGCGCTTTGCTGATTCTCGTGGGGAGCGAAGTCGCGGGAGCGCTGCCAAAGGGGGCCTTAGGATCTATCTATACAGATCTTGGGTGATCTATGAAGTTGATTGCACATCCAAAATCAGATGCATTTACAAGTGCGTACAAATCACGTATTAGTGATAATGAGTTCTAGTTACAATGAAGCAAATACAAAGAGATCACGCGCAACTGCGGATGGCAGATATTTAGTGATTTGGCAAAGAAAGAAGATTTGGCCCACAGACTAGCTGGTCCTATTGGCTGAAGTCTCGAAATTATATATGGGTCCTTGGAAATTGGGGCCCTGTTCTGTCGCACCGCCTGCACTCCCCTAGGCACAACCCTACTCAGACGGGTTGTGCATTTGTCTTTGGCCATGGACTTTGCAATTCGTTTAGAGCTAGGTCCATCACTCCATAAAGTCTCTCGTACAACTTCTGGCTATGGATAAAAGCAGGGGCAAAGCTATAGTGATTCCTAGGTATTCTTAGAAATGCCCATCTTTTATGTAATACATCAAGTTGTTGGGAACACAGTACCTCTGAAACGTAGATCAGGGGATAAACATCTTACTTAGATGGAGAAACTAATTCCTCTACTTCGCCCTGGCGCAGTTGCACCACAGCCGTGTGGACGCCGGTGTCGTGGGAGCTTGGCGCAGTGGAGTCCAGCGTAGTGGTGGCGATGCAAAGGCGACGGTGACGCGAGGTGCCGCGGTCCGGTGGTGACGGCGAAGTCAGTAGGTCTTCCCATCGCTGGCAGCACCCTCTTTAGATCGGGTTAGGTTTTGCTGTTGGTGGGTCACGGCGGCTCAGGTCAACCTCATAGTTAGAGCCCTTATCTCCACCTCTCTTTATAGTGTTGTGCGACGGGGGCCCACCAACCATGGAGTCGTTGGACGCCCCCGATCAGGGCATTGATCCAAGGGTCCAATTGGCTAGGCCAATTGGTGGAGATCAAACTAACATTTTCCCCCTTGATCTCACACCATCTTTCAATTTCATATCATTTACTTTTGTTCATTCCATTACAGATTAGCGCATAGAGCATGTTTCATCGTCACGGTCAATTGCCGATAGATTTAACAACTACAACACACCACTTTATTCTGAAATAGATACTTAACTTTGGGTCTTCTTTTGTCTAGAAATTATAGGCTTTCTCTTAAATCCATGCCGGCTACATGTTCTCTGAACACGTTGGGTGGTAAGCCTTTTCTAAGCGGATCCACGAGCATCTTTTCGGTACTTATATGCTCAAGACTTATGACTTGATCCTGAACTTTATCTTTCACAACATAATACTTTATGTCAATGTGTTTGGCAGCACCACTTGACTTATTGTTGTGAGCATATTGTACTACTGGATTATTATCGCAGTATAACTTAAGTGGTCTATAGATGTCATCAACCACCTTCAAACCGGGTATGAACTTCTTTAGCCAGTTCACCTGCCCCGTTGCCTCATAACACGCTACAAACTCGGCATACATTGTGGACAATGTAGTGATGGTTTGCTTTGAGCTTTTCCATGAAATAGCTCTCCCTGCGAGAGTGAATACATATCCAGACGTGGATTTTCTATCATCTCCAGCATAATCAGAATCTGAATATCCCACTATATGGAGTGAATCTGATCTTCTATACGTCATCATGAGGCTTTTCGTTTCTTGTAAATAACGCAAGACTTTCTTTACTAATTTTTAGTGTTCGTTCTAGGATTGCTCGAATCGCATTAAGTAACACGATAACAAATGCCAAGTCGTATGCATACATACTTGAGCATATTGCAAGCTTCCCATAGCTGAAGCATATGGAACCGCTTTTATTTGATCAATCTCTCATCATACTGATTTCTAAGGCATTGAAAATCCCCATATCTCGTATGCCCTTGACTATAGGAGCAGTGTGAGGGACTACATTTGTACATATTGAATTTCATTAAGATCTTTTCTATGTATGACTTTTGTGATAGTCCTAATACCCCTTTACTTCTATCTCGGTGAATCTCGATCCCTAGAACGAACGAAGCTTCACTAAGATCTTTCATATCAAATTTTGAGGGCAAAAACTTTTTTGTCTCCAGTAGTAGACTGACATCACTACTAGCAAGTAAGATATCATCCATATACAGGACAAGGAAGATAAACTTCCCATTCTTAAACTTTGCATAGACACAATTGTCCTCTACATTCTCTTTAAACCTAAAATTCCTTATTGTCTGATCAAACTTCAAGTACCACTGTCTTGAAGTTTGTTTTAATCCATAAATGGATTTCTTTAGGCGACATCCCATTCATTCTTTTCCTTCCATGACAAAACCTTTTGGTTATGCCATGTAAACATTTTCCTCCAAGTCCCCATTGAGAAATACTGTCTTTACATCCATCTGATATAATTCTAAATCGTAATGTGCCACTAATGCCATTATGATTCTGAAAGAATCCTTATATGAGACTGGAGAAAAGGTCTCATTGTAATCAATGCCTTCTCTTTGCGTAATGCCTTTTGCCACAAGTCGCGCTTTACATCTCTCTATATTTCCTTGAGAGTCAAATTTTGTTTTGTAGACCTATTTATAGCCTACTGTTTTGGCTCATTTAGGAATTATTTCCAAGTCCCAAACTTTATTGGTATTCATAGATTTCATTTCATCTTTCATGGCCATAAGCCACTTTGATAAATGATCACTTCTCATGACTTCTTCAAATGAGGTGGGATCATCCTCCATTTGAAATTCCTCAGTGTTGTATACTTTATAGTCAGCAGGAATAGCTGATTTTCTAACTCTTTGAGACCTTCTAGGGGCCTCCACATTTAGCACATCTTCTATTTGAGGCTATTGTTGCTCCCCTCATGTGTGGCAATAGGTTCTACAGGATCCTGAAGAATAGGTTCCTCATCGTCATTCATTGTTGCCACAGGCGGAATAACAACAGGTGCTGGCACCACAGTGTCTTGCACTGTCGGTGCAGCGATAGCAGGTAGTGAGAAAAATGGCTTATGAATCATCGGAGTGGGCGCATACACCCACTTCTCTTCAAGGTCAATTTCTCAAGCTACCATGCTCCCCCTCATCATTTCATCCTCTAGGAAGACAGCGTGTCTCGTTTCCACAAACTTTGTATGTCTGTTTGGACAGTAGAAATAAAAACCTTTTAACTTTTCTGGGTAGCCAATGAAATGGCAACTTACTGTTTCGGGATCTAGCTTCCCAATGTTTGGGTTAAATACTTTGGCCTCAGTAGGACTTCCCCACACACGTAAGTGGTTTAGTGACGGTACTCTTTCTGTCCACAACTCATACGGTGTTTTAGGCACCGACTTACTTGGTACTATATTGAGAATATGAATGGTGGT